GAAATGACCAAAACAAATACAAATATTTGTTCCTCAAACATTGATGCACCTAGGTGTATAAAGCAGATGCTAAGAGCATTGGAGGAAGTAAACCAAAAGTGGAATGGTGATTCCTCTCAGCAGTAGGCCCTCTGAACAGAGAATGCATAAACAGCAGAACTGAGCACCATCAGAGACCATGTGGTCCTCACAGGCATATACAGAACCTTCTACAGGATAGGAAAATGGGGCCACAAAAACTAATCTTAAAAGTTCAAAGATTAAAGTCATATGAAGCATCTTTTCTAACTCTATTTGTGTAAAAACTCAGTAATAGGAGGAAAATTCACGAATATGTAAAAGTTAAGCAATTTGGCCCCCCAAAAGCTAATAGTACTGATTATAAATAAAAGAGAATAATTTTTTAAAAAAAAAAGTAATGAGACAAATGAAGATGGAAACACAACCTATCATGTATATGAGATGCTGAAAATGTGGTCTTTGAGAGAAAAGATTACAGCTGTAAAAAAAAAAAACCTAAAGAAAGTACTCTCAATTGCACCCTCTACATTAAACATTAAAGAGGAAGGGAAAGAATAATCGAGCCCAAAGTTAACAAAAGGGAGAGACTAGTAAGTACTAGGAAAGAAAGATTCAGATACAAAGAATAGAAAACAAGACAAAGATCAGTGAAACCGAGCCAATTTCTAAAATATAAAATCGGCAAATCTCCAGCTAGACTAATTAAGGAAAACAAAATAGAAAGATTTTATTATTCTAACTAGAGAAATATGACTGATAACCAAGAAGTGATCTTGATCATAAGAGAATACTTTGAACAGTTATATGCTAAGAAGTTAGGTAAGCTATAATAAATGGAAATTCCTGAAAATCAAATACCCACCAAGACCAAATCTTGAAGAAATACAAAATCCAAATGAATAACAAGTAAGGCAATTGAATCGGTAATCAAAACCCTCCCGGCAAAGGATCCCAGTGCCATATGGCTTCCCCACTGCCTGGCCCAACATTTAAGAAGAATCAGTGCCAGTTCTTTCTGAACTCTTCCAAAAATTAAAGAGGGCAGAACACTTCCAAACTTCATTTACAAGGTCAGTATTACACTGAAAGCACAGTTAGATGAGGCCATGGTGAGAGAAGAAAATTACAATCCAGTATCACTCAAACATAGATGCAAACAAGAATTCCTAACAAAGTACTAGTGAGCCACATAAAAATAGCATATACCAAATTGAAATGGGATTCGGTCTGTGGCTAGTTCAAATATGCAAATAAATACATATGAGATGCTAAATTAGCAGAATAAAAGAAAAGTAATATTGTTACCCAATAGATATAGAAAAAAAGAATTTCACAAAATTCCACATCTTTTCATGTTTAAAGATGCAACATATTGAACATAGAGTGAGAATATCTCAATATAATAAAACCTGTAAGTTTCAGAAATGCTCTTTTTCTGTAAAATCAGGACCAAGATAAAAGGCTTATATAAAGTTATAGAAGTCACAAAGGAGAACATAAAAATATGTTTGCAGATTGCAGTTTTAGACATAAAAAAGTAAGACTGTACCTCAAATGAGTTCAATAGTGTTTTCTCTTTCCAAAAACCAATATATAAAATTTATTTCTATTTCTCCACACTAAAAGCCTACCCTCTAACACAGAAATGAGAAAAATAGTCATTTATAGTAATAGCAAAACAATAAAGGAAAAAGTAGGAGTAAAATTTAATTAAGAAAATGGAATCTGTTAACTGAAAAATACATTACTGATAAAATAAATTGAAAATATATAAATGGAAAAATAGGCTATGTTCATGGATTGGAAGAACTAATACTGTTAAAATGTCTTAGTTCTCACTGTGTGTGTGTGTGTGTGTGTGTATCTATATGTCTATGTATCTATATTTATTCACTACAATTGCTATTTGCAGTCCTATCGTATTTCAACATAAATAGGAAAAACTTGCATGAAACCACAAAAGATGTTGACTGAACAAATTAATGATGAGCAAGAAGAGTTGAGCTATTGGTATTATACTTTCTGGTTTGAAACTATGTCACAAAGTTATAATAATCAAACCTTCATGATAACTGACATAAAAGAAGTATAAACCATTGAACAGAAAGCTCATTAATAAATCAGTGTATGTATCATTAACTAATAAGTGATGGACATGAAGAGCATGTGACAGTGAAAGTACTGTTTCTTCAATAAATGATACTAGGAATACTGACTGAGTAGGGGTTGACCAGTGTCTTAGTTAGTTAGGGTGTTTACTGCTGTGAAGAGACACTATGACCAAGACAACTCTTATAAAGGAAATAATGAATTGGGTGGCTCCCATACAGTTTGAGAGAGTTAGTCAGTTGTCATCATGGCAGGGAGCATGGTGCCATGGAGGCAGAGGTAGTGATGGAGGAAGAGCTGAGAGTCCTACATCTTACAGGTACCAGGAAGTCAACTTCTCACTGGGAAGTATTCTGAGCATAGGAAACCTCAAAGCCCAACCCCTCACTCACACACTTCCTCCAACTAGGCCATTCCCACTCCAATAAAGCCACACCTCCTAATAGTGTCACTCCTTATGAGATTATGGGGACCAATTATATTCAAACTATCACAACCAGTATAGGACATGAAGTTTTTCAAGTAATGGTGTATTCTTGTTGCTACAACCATATACTTGATAAGAAGCAAGTTAAGAGAGGTTTTATTTGAGCTACTGCTCTAGGTTGAACTGTATAATGGTGATAAAGCTTAGCTATGACAGCATTTCACAGCTGTGATGACAAGTACAAGTCATCCTGCTTACATCTCCAGGGATCAAGGATGACAGAGAGAGAAGAAATGTTGTAAACCTCCAATCCCAATCCTACTGGACCAGTTCCACCAACTAGACCCTACCCAATAAGGCTCTACAACATCCTAAACACAGTAGCTAGGAACCAAGTGTTCAATTTTACATGAGCCTATAGGGACATAAGGGACATTTTGCATCCAAACCATAACAGATGGAAATACTATCTACTTTGACCTGGGTGTAGGTTAGCCAAAGTTCTTATTTAGTAAAAGCTCAAAAGACTATATATACCGTTAAGATGCATGTATTTCACTGTGTAGAAATTTGAACTTAGAAGAGGTAAAAATATACATCTTTAGTTAATGATATACACAACAATGTGTTTAGGAGCCAACTGTCCAGATACCTGCCAAATTAATCAATGGATAAATATGTACATGACAAATCAAATATAGAAAGATGATTATAATACATAGGTTGCTAGTGTATGTGCCCTAAACATTTCTTTCAACTTCTCTGTGTTATCCTCAAGTATCCTCCGGACTTTCCTGCAGAAAGATCATCTCAGAGTATTTTTCCAGGGCCCCTAGTCACATCAAAAAGAAAATCAACTGTGAAAGACAGTAAAAGAATGCATTTTAAAGATTCGTCAATCAACTACTGTGCCAGTTAGATTTTTATCAACTTAACACAAACTATGGTCTTCTGGGAAGAGGGAGTCTGGATTGAAAAGAAGTGCATGCATCAGATTGATCTGTTAGCAAGTCTGTGAGGCATTTTCTTAATGAATGATTGATGTGAGAAAGCCCAGTCCACTGTGGGTGGTGACATCCATAAGCAGGTGTGCAGCTTTGTTCCCCTGTGGCTTCTGCTTCCCTTCTTGCCTCAAAGTTCCTGCCTTCAGTTCCTGCCAGGACTTAGACCTTTTCTCTCCAGGTTGCTTGTGGTCATGGTATTTACTATAGGAGTGGAAACCTAATTAGGTGGAAACCTTCCCTCATGAAACAGTGTAGTTGACAAAAGAATAAACTACGACAAATTCAACATATGCAACAGACAAATATAATTTCATTAGCATATGTAAATTACTAAAAGAAATAATTGAAAATATAGTATGTTAAGGCTGATTCTCCACTTGATTTGTAATGAAAGAAATGAGAATTTGGAACTTCAAAACAGAGTTTATAAAGCAAGTCATACTGAAGTACCAGATTGGTGTTTGCTAATGCAATGTAGAATAGATATTTCACTGCATTGTAAGTGTGTGTGTGTGTGTGTGTGTGTGTGTGTGTGTGTGTGTGTGTAAGTCAATATCAATAGTATCTGGGAGAAAGAAACAACAGCTACCAACATTACAGCAACCCATACTCTGTTGTGGTTACTTCACTTTTCACTTTGTATCAGAGAGCTACTGAAAAAATACATGAGGATGATTATTTATTGAAACCTTTGAACTAACAAAGTGTTGAAACATTCTAGCACCTAGCCAGCCTGCATTGAACTCCCAGAGCTATCCTTGTATCACCAGACAGAACTCAGGTCATGCAGAGTAAAATGTACTTTTTTTTTTTTTTTTTTTTTATTTGCCCATAGGAGTGACATATGCTAACACTTGCTGATTTCTAAAAGGAAAACCTTAAAGATTTTGGTGACATTGTTCCAGTTTCCTTATATGTTTTATCCATTCCCTCCTTTCAGTGAATGATTTCATTGCACTGTTACTCTACTTGTTCTCAAGTTTTTACAAAATATCTCTAGTTTTTGTAAAATGCTACAGAAGCGACTTGTTCTGTAGCCATCTTGCATCAGCCATGTACCAATTAAGCCAATTATGCAATGACACATTACAATTAATATGCAAATAGTATGTTTACAGATAAATAGAATTATCTCATCAGCTCAATAGTGCTTTATCATGATAACAAGTAGCAAGCATGACCAACCAGACACTAGTTAGCATATCTAACAGTGAGTTTAGAGAGCTTTGGTTAATAAAGGTAGTTAAAGAGGTGATTTAAGAGAGCTTTCATTACATAATGGCAATGAGTAGATAGCAGTTCATTCTCTTCCAAAATAAATAAAATTATAGTAACTTTAATAAAAATGATTTGCTAGGTCAGTCATATTTTTATGTTTTGACCATTTTGTCTTCATTATGACTTCCATATGAACCCATGTTCTTTCCAATATGTTTAAGGCTTTGGTCAAAGAGTTACAAAGTGGTGTCCATAGGACCAGACATCAAATCAAAGAGCTTAAGAAGATGCACAAAGACAAACATGCTTGTAAAACCTCAACCCATAAAGCCCAGACCTTGGCAGCATCCATCCTGAACATTTCACGGTCAGACCTGGAGGAAATACTGGACACAGAAGATGAAGTGGTAAGAGCACTTACATACTCATTAATAAAGGGTTTGCTGCATTCTTATTTAAATATATTGTTTGTTTTATAAGTCTTAGAATTTCATTTTATGGGGCTATTGTCAAGTTGTTAAAGAAAGATATACAGTATAACCAACTCAACTCCTTTAGAGAAATTTAATATATAATAGAAAAATGATTAAGTATGTAACAGGGAAGGATAACGGACATAATAAGGGATTAGGGAGATTCATGTTGCTCGTTACTCATGTCAGTCATCTCTTGCTGTCTCCTCTATTCTCTTTAGATTCCCTTTAGCTCATCATAATCATATTATAGATCTTGTAAGCCAAGGTTTTGTCATTACTGGAGTGTGTGTGTGTGTGTGTGTGTGTATGTTATGAAGCAAGGTCCTTACTATGTTGCCCAAGCTGCCAGGCTGGTCTCAAACTCTTAGAATCAAGTGACTCTCCTACTTCAACCTCTTGACCCTTTCAGATTATGAGTCTGTAACAACACACCCAGCAGCAATCACTTTTTTTTTTTTTTTTTTTTTTTTGGTTCATTTTACTTTATGCGTACTCTGCCTTTGTGTATTTGTTTCTACCACATGCCTGTCTGTGGTCAAAAGGGGGCATGGAGACCTCTGGAGCTTCAATTGCAGATAATGTTGCTTGGAATCAAACCCCCATCCTCCGCAGGAGTATCAAAAGCTCTTAACTGCTGAGCCAGCTCCCAGTCTCCATCACCACCTTGCCTAGTCTTAGTTCAGTCAAGTCATCATTGATTTGCTAAAAATCTCTTGTGTGAGATTTTTTTTAAAAGGTAACAACAAATGTATTGGATTTCCTGGCTAAATTTATAATTATTTTGATAATTCTATTTCTTGAAAATATTTATTGTTTTAAAACTGATGAGATACTCCTATTTGGGTGGATTATCTCCCACTCTGTGGGCCATGGGGGAATGATCCTGTCTCATCTATAGTATTCTTGAAACCTATGAAGAATGCTTGGTCCTGAGAATAGAAGTCTTTAATTATTTAGTGTTTGGAAAGATTTAAGACAGGATGATACCAAGATCATCCCAATAAATATTTTCTCAATGGTGAAATAAGGCAATAGATTTAAGTATTTGTATGAGACTGTCCTCTTGAGCATATAAGAGATTTTCTGCCACACAACAGATCTATAATGCAAAGATATTTAAACTGCCAAGAGTTTTTGGAAAAGAGCCAAAGGAATTCTATAGAGATTATCTTCATCCTTTGGGTGAGTGGGATGATGAGCCATCACTCTCAGTTTCCCAGGCTCACATTTGGACAAGCATCTGTGGCTTTCTGCCTGACTCTGGATATGGAAGAAAAAGAATATCATCACATGTAGGATCAAACAAGGTGCAGGGGAGACAGCAGTGTCTAAGCAAGAACCTTGGCTATGTTGCTGTAGACACCTAATTAGAGCTTGGGTTGATGGTGTGCCTCTGTGAGAGTGTGTCTGCTTGTGCCCATGCACTTACACACACACACACACACACACACACACACACACACACACACACAGAGAGAGAGAGAGAGAGAGAGAGAGAGAGAGAGAGAGAGAGAGTCACATGTGCTTAGGATGGAACACTGTCACTGTTTGATGTTAAGAGGATGTTCTCTCTTGACTGTAAATTAGAAAAACCTCACTCCATTTGAATAAGGAAATTAGACAACACTGTCTCTTTTAAGTGTATGACTTAGAAAAGGTTCCTCACAGTCCAAACAATGGAGAACATGTTTCTGTGATGAAGCAGTGCCCCTGCCTCTGGGCTGATGCAGCCTCATGAGAGAACTTTGCCACGAAGCCTCATACTCCACACAGTCTACAAACCCTCCTAGTGATAAAACCAACCTGAGTAGGAACACACTGCTCTGAGCAGTCTAGGGCACCTTAGTATATTCACTGTGCTTAATTATACACCAGAGTGTGTTTAGAATGAATTATACATCTTTTAGAGATTAAAGGGTAGAGTGTCTTACCTGAATTATGTTCTTTAAACTGCATCCAATTGTAATAAATTCATAGTGAAAGTATGAGAGTCAGTGTGAAGAGCCTAGTATGAAGATTGGCATGTGAGTGTTAGTTTCAGTGAGTGTTAGTTTCTCAAGTGCTTTTATTTTTTCACATGTGGTGGTGGTGGGTATATATATGTGAGGGGGGAAGGGAGGGAGGGAGAGAGAGGGAGGGGGAGAAGAGAGAAAGGGAGAGAGGAATGGGAGTAGGGAAAGGGAAAGAGGGGGAGGAAGAGATGGACAAAGGGAGGGAGAGAGAGAGAGAGGGATGAAGGGAAAGAGGGAGAGGGGAGAGGGAGGGAAGAACAAAGGGAGGGAGGGGGAGAGAAAAGGAGGGAGAGAAAGAAAGAGAGGGAGGGAGGGGGAGAGGGAGAGAGAGGCAGGGAGGAAGGGAGAGAGAGAAGGAGAGAGAGAGAGAGAGAGAGAGAGAGAGAGAGAGAGAGAGAGAGAGAGAGAGAGAGAGAGACTGTATAGGCCGGAAGATAGAGTTGGGTTTCCTAAGCTGGAGTTGCAGGCTGTTATGGATGCTGGGAACCTGTAGTGAGATAGTTCTGTGGCACTGACCACACCCATTGGGGGTGGAGCCATGGGCGGAGTGACCTGTGGAAGGAGGTCGGAAGGGGCCAGGAAAGGCTCTCTTTCTGGCATGACTCAGACAGGAGAGGATCGGGTTGAATTTCCTGGTGTTCATCTGTCTAGGTTGTAAGTTATTTCTCCCTGAATAATCATCTATTCGGCCTATTTGTTTATCCTGATCCTTATTTACCGCGATAGGAACCAAACTCAGGTCCTCTGTAACTCTTAACTACTGATCCTTCTTTCCCACTCTGTGCTGTCTATTACTGTGTTATATCTTTTCTACTCTGAATCATCCCTATCTTGACCCACAGTGTGAAAGCTGAAAAAAAAAATCCTGATTTATTATAAACAGAGCTACAGCTTCTATATAAATGTAAATATTTCTCAGTTAAATTTAAATAGCATGGATTTGAATATTCCACCTTGGAAGAGATGGGCCACTCTTGGTTGACATTCCTATAGATGTGGTCAATATCTAGCTGCTAGATTCTAGCAGAATGAGTAAGTTCATATCAGTTAATGCTTCTGTTTTCATTTTCCTTAGGAAATTGAAAAGACAAAGATAGATGCTGAAAATGACAAGGAATGGCTGTTGTATATTCAGAAACTTCTTGAAGGACAGGTATTTCATTTTTGTGCTTCATACATGAAAACTTCCACATAAATATTCCGGACCTCACATTTACAGACACCGTTATTTACTTTTGCTAGGTAAAGAAGGATTCCAGAGGTAGACAGTAAAGTTAACACTCTATTTGTACTTTTGGACTTAACAAATGAAGCAAATGCCTTGAGAAAGAGCCAACATGAGCCTCGGCAAGTGCATTAATTAAATTATTGAGTCAACCTCTCTGCTTGCTAGAGTGAAAAGGATCCATTCCCCCAGACCTCTTAGGAACAGAGATTCTTTATTAGTGTCTTTAAAGTTGGAAGTTGATACGGACACCTGAGGAGTTCATGGGTTTCAGTGACCTTTTACTGTGGACCTGTTTCCAGTCAATTCATGTTTTCCTCACAGCCAGACAGCTGTTTATTACTGTGTCTTCCCGCATTCTCTACAATATTTTCTACTGAGACCTCGAGCAGCTTGTTAGTGGGAAGTAAATATTGATTTGGCATCCTGTCAATGCAGAAAGAATGAAAAAATTTCCACCAGAGGCCCCTCAAACATTTTCCTATCGACGTTTCCTGGGCCGAGTAGAAAGCTGCATAGAGGATGACAAGGCCAAGACGAGCAGGGATCCCTGAGGGGTCTATTGAGGCTGCCGCTGTGACCAGTGTGATATACTTTTTCTCCCCTTTCAAGTATTTTTTTAATACACACATAGTCTGCTGGGATGTGCCCCTCTTGTAAGTGATCAAGGGCAGTTTATTGGCAGGTGAGAGCCCTACTTTTCTAGTCATAGCCAGCTTTTGTTTTGACATCGCTGACAGCTTGTAATGCATTCTACAACTTTTTCATTGTAGTCTTTTCTTTCCCTCGGCCTAATTGTTTACTTGAAAACCAACCTGAAATGAATAAAAGCTAAAACGTAATTGTCAAAATGGCAAGAGGTGAATCCCATCAACCAGTGATTTTTGAAAGACACTGTCAGTGTTTCTCAAAAGATTAAAAACAGAAGTTGATATTAAGTATTATTATTTTATATCATCAGTATTTCCAAATAGCATTTGCTGTGCTTTTAGGAAAGTCGAGAATAATGCAATGAAAGGGCTAGAGATGTAGCTCAGTGGTTATATTTCCATGATTAGCATGTAAACACATGAGTCCAACCCTCGGCACCAAGACAAGAAACAAAAAACAATAAATTATTGATACACAGGCCACTCATACTATTACTTGTTAACTGTATATGTTTTGAAACATTATCTGAAATTGCTTTAGTAATAGAATATGATTGGTGACGTTTTGGTCAAAATTGTTGAAATACAGATGCATAAGTGTGAAACAAGGCCTTTTACAGTGTTTTTGAGAAGAGGGACTGTCTTTTACTTAAGATGTACCCTTCTTTGAATCATGTGTGTGGAGGGGGGTACACATGAGTGCAGGTGTCTGCACAGGGAGGCCAGAGGCATCAGATCACTTTGGAGCTGAACTTATAAGCAGCCAACATGAGTGCCAGGAAACAAATTCAGGCCGTCTGCAAGAGCCCTACATGCTTTTAACTGGTGGGCCATCTCGCCAGCTTGAAGACCTCATTTCTTAATCATGCTGCTTGCTCAGGTTCAGCTCAGTGCCTGACCTATGAAGGAGTTCAATGATAGTTGGTATGAAGTATTTTTAAGCTTAAAAACATAGGAAATAATCTTGCAATGATTTTCTAAGTGTTCACCTTGTAACTAGGACCTTGTAGTTCCTTTAATTAGAAATGTTATCAATATGTTCATAAAATAATAAATCAAATGTTTAAGTGTTGCTAAAGCTATACTGATAACAGAGAAGGTTTGGAGGTTGTGTGTGTGTGTGTGTGTACATGCACTTATGTATTTGTGTATGTGTGTGTCTTGTATAAGTGCATATGCATATTCTGCATTATCTAGATATATGCTTATTCTGTCCAGTTAGTGTTAAAAATTCCCTGTTGAAATGGCATCAGACTGCTTAATACTGCAGTTTGATATAGAGCCTTTTTGTGCCACTGAGCCTGGTCTCTGGAATATAATTGCCTGGTAGTATTGATTTAATTGCCCAGGTTTATTTGTGGACTCCTAATTATTGACTGGAGGTAAATTTAATGGAGCAGTCTTTATGAACACTGAGAAGCACTGCTGTTGCTGCTGTACATAATGAACTGCATCGTATGCCTCTAGACCGTTTTTCAAGCTAATTTTATTCTGTTGTGACAGTATGATAACATTTAAAAAGTCAAAGACTTTTTTATTTTTATTACTGACATAGGTGGTTTTGCTGATGTCTTTGAATTTTGTGAGAAAAAAAATAGGCATTTCAATGGTTGCAGTTGAATGTCACTTTATAATTATGCCCAAGAGAAAAATCTATAAAATAGAATACATCGCCTTTCTCCTCTCTCTATCCCAGCAATTATCTTTGTCCTGTGTTTTCAGAAATGTTTCCTTTGCCTACCAGGTTTTTAGAATCTGAGAGGCTCATAGAGTTGTGTGGGCAAAACTGTAAATCTGTGTGGTTAGTTTATAGCTTCTGTCTTCTTGTGTGTGCATTTAAGCAACCTTTGGACTGTAGAGTAAGGGAACATCGTCCCTACAAAAGTACCTGATTTGGTTCTGGCATAATAGTATTAACATATTTAAAAGAAAAAAGTGTATCTTGTCTGTCCGCCTTCTGTGCCATTTGGTGTTGTGTGGTAGGATCTTGAATATTGAGACTAATCAGCTCCATGATTGTTGACTGCTTTCATGATGACATCTTATACTGATGATATGCTTACCACAAAATGAAAAGAAGATTCTACCATGTGGCATGGTGAGTCTGTATACAGTATCTATCACTGTTGTTAGTCAGAGAACACTAGAATGGAAAGTTAGACCCTTTCGTGGGTGGATATATTTAATTACAGAGTACACGTATATCACCTCACTATTTCAAATAGTTATAAAGTAATTACTAGTTCTATGTATTTGATATTTTTCTGTAGTTTGTGGATTCTTAGGAAGAATCACACTGAAAAAACATTTTTCCAAGATCTGCTTTCATTTTTCTGTGGTTTGGGTGTCTTTATCTTAAAATTTTTACTTGTTCTTTCTTTTCGTATTGATACAATTTTAAATTTAAAATTTGTGAGGGACGCAAAGAAGTAAAGATGAGGGGAACCCTTGATATTTGTTTTGATGTTGTTTAAGGAGTGGATGAAAATAGAGTGAAGCTAGATCAGCTTGGCATTTGAGCAAGAGTATACCTTAGATACAGGGTATCAGCATGCATGGCTGCAGAGATGGAAGAGATGAAGGCAGGGATCTAGGTGTGCCCAGCCATGGAAACCGGAGAGCTGCCCACCACGGGCATGAGAGTACACGAGCAATCCCCAGTCAGAGATGGATGGCTTCAGTACCCTGCATAACGAGAAGTTGAAGGTGTGTTGAAGAATGTTAGTGATCAAGACAGCCAGTGTGCTAGGGAGGAAATATTGGTTACTAAAGCCATAGAAGTTTTAGTAAGTTAATAATATTTGAAATGTTCTGTTTTGCCTCAATTCATCCTAGCCTTTTGTTGGTCTGGCCTCAGTTTAAGAAAGCATTTCACATTCGTATGTGAACAAGAAAAGATTGAAAGCCCAGATACTTGCATTGGTACTGATTACCCCCCACCCACCTCCACCCTTCTTCCTCCTTCAGTGTCTGAGAACGAAGCTGTATTCTCATTAGTTTCACTTTGGCTTTAGATGTTTCTGTCCCTGTTAGCTGCTTCAGATCTTACAAATGCTGAAGTATCAAGTGGTCATTTTCTCTACTGCCATCTAAAAACATGCTTTACTTTTATAGAATGCCTGGGAGTGTAATCAACCCCCTGGCCTTTGTAATTGGAGGGAGCTACCTAAGCAAAAGTTAACTTAAGTCCCTCATGTAGCTCTGAAACCATAACTTCTGTATGCCTGCTTCCTGCATGGTGTTTGTAGCATGTGCCCCTATGCTAATATGCTATATACCCTGCTCTCTCACGCAAAACCATGTGGTCACTATAGACAGTCCTCACAACCAGCTGAAATAGAAAGATTTAAATTCTCCACTCAGCCTGCTTCAGTGTTTTTCATGTAACAACCTGAAGCCTGCTTTTGTTTGAGAAAAAAAGAAATATGTTCTTGTGTTATAATAAAGTAGTTTATGGCTGATATTCTAAAATTAGGTCTTAATACAAATATCAGTATATTCTCCTTCCTGTTCTACTCTAGATCAGCAGAGTGTTCATTCAAAAAACATTTACTGGGTGCTATATTATGTGACTGCATGGGTCACCATGGGAGGCAAAGGACATAATTCAGATCCTGAGCTTTCAATCTAAAACAAGAAAACACCAAGGTCACTGTGAAGGTGGGAAGAAAAGAGACCCCATGTGCTTCACGGATAGGAAGGTAAAGCACTTAAGCCAATTCTCAGAAGACTTATATTGCCAAGAAATTTTGCTTCTCAGTATACTACTAACAGAACTAAAAGAAGGCTCTTGAGCAGATGCTTGTATACTCACATTCATAACAGTCACATAGGCAAAAGTGAAAACTACCCCTTGGCTGTTGATGGATATATAGATAAATCTGTCTGCCTGTCTATCACACACAGACATACACCACCAACTATTCCTTTAAGACAACAGAGATAAGCCTTCAGAAGCTTACATTACATTGTTAAAATAGTAGTCTTATCCTTATATAGGTATTAAACATTATTTGGGGGCTCAAAGGAAGTAGGTATGAATACCAGTGTTTCGGTTGTGAATTTGAAAATTAATTTAGATAAAAAAGCAGCTTAACTTTTGGAAGAAAAGAAAGTATTCAACAGAGTATGTATGAATCCTAAACCTCTGTGCTGTTGCTTAAGGAGGGACATTTTGGTGGATCAGGTCATGAGGGCAGGTCACTCATGAATGGAATTAGAGCCTGTGAGATAAAGGAGCTTTCTATCTTCTCTTTATCACACACAAACCCAGAGAAA